GGGTGTGTGTTGGGGGGGTGGTGTGTGGGTGTGTGTGGAGTAATGAAATGGGACCAAGCAGGAAGAATGCATCTGGTAGTTTTACCAGCTCCAAGGCTACTGGCTTCTCCTTGATTTACGTGTGGTATCATTAGATGGAAGATAACATATTGGTAGATGGAGTTATTGGTACAAAAACACTGCATACAACCACTGGGTCTGAGCATTCGTAGTAATCTTTTTTGTTTTGTTTTGTTTTTTGTTTTTTTAATTTTGAGTATGAATGTTTTGCCTGCATGTATATAAGTGCACCACATGTGTGCGATGCCCATGGAGGCCAGAAGTGGGCGTCAGATCCTTTGGAACTGGAGTTATGGATGGTTGTTAGTGGTTAGTTGTTAGTAGTTGTGGGTGCTGGGAACTGAACCAAGATTCTCTGCAAGGGCAGCCAGTACTCTTAACCACTGAGCCATCTCTCCAGCCCCTGGGAGCAATCTTACATGTATGTGTTGTTCATGGACCGAAATCCCTCTCCTAAGAGTCATAATACAAGTGTAATCCTATACTTCCTGTAATCCTAGCACGAGAGAGGCTGAGGCAGGAGGCTGAAGCCAGTTTAGGATACTTAATGGGACTTCGTCTCAAAGAAAGAAATACAAAAAAGAATTATAAACTCAGTGTAACTAACTATTTTGCTCAAAAAGTTACCATCCAACTTACATTCATTCAGAAATATTTATTGACTACCTGTTCTGGGAGCTTGGGCTACATGGAAATGCAAAAACAAGTAAGACCCTTGCTCCTCTGAGATTGCATTGTGGCTTGAGAGACAGAAAATAAAGTTCACCCGTAGATTATGGTGTATTATTAGAAAATGTCCTGTTCTATGGGGAAAGAGCAGACTGTGGGCCAAGTGTGCTGGAGTGCATCTAGGTAGTGATGGGAGGACAGTGGTGATAGCAATACTAAATCTCATCTTCAGGAACAAAGACCTTGCCAGGAACGTAAGAACTAGGACTTGATGGAGGTGAGGGGAAGTCTCAAATAGAGAGGTTGGGGAGCAAAAATTCTGAGGTGTGATCACATTCCATTTGTTCAGGGGACAGCAGGGAGGTGAGTGTCCGGAGCTGAATGGATGAGGAAGATGAGATGGACAGCATCAGAGAGCAGCGGGATACAGGTGTGCCTGAAGGGATGAGGCTTTTACTCAGAGAGACCCTTTGGAGTTTTAAACATGGGAGCGCCATGATGTGTGTTCTAATTTGGTTTCTTTATTGCTGAGATGAAACACCACAACCAAAATCAACTTGGGAAGAAAAAAGTTTATTTCAGCTTACAACTCCCAGGTCACACTCCATCACTAAGGAAGTTAGGGCAGGAAATGAAGAGGATTGCTGCTCACTGGCTTGTTCTCCCTGGTCTGCTCAGCCACTATTCTAATATAGCCCAGGGATGGTACCACCCACGGATTAAGAAGATGTCTCCTAGACATGCCCACAGACCAGTCTGATGGAGGAAATTCCTCAGTTGAGGTTCCTTCTTCCCAGGTAACTCTAGTTTGTATCAAGTTGATAAAAATTAACCAGAACAAGGTGACATATCTTAAAGGGTGCTGAGAATAGACCTTTCTAAGGCAAGCAGCAAAGCAGGGAGTCCTGTGTGAAATGCATGCAACAGTCTAGGGCCTCATATCAGCACAGAGGTGATGGGAAGTGACCAGAGGCTGAATATATTTTCAGGTAGAACTGTCAGGATTTCCTGCTTATTTGTAAGCAGAGTGGGAAAGAAAAAAGAATACTATCTTTGGACCTGAGCCATGAAGGGATGAAGTTGCCACCTAACTAACTGACAGAGTGGGTTTAGGAAGAACCAGCTTCATTTGGACAAAATGAGCCATAGATGTTGCTATGTATCTGGGCTAGGACTCTGGCCAGCTTCATGTAGTAACTTCTAGTTTGGAAAAAAGATCTGGGTTGAGGATACGTATTTGAAGGATGTTAGCATATAGATAGTGTGTGAAGACATGAAGATATGAAGATGGACAAGATCATGAGACGAGGACCACAAAATTACATGGGGTCTTCAGGCTACAAAAGGGTGGGTAGGAGAGGAAAACCAGCAGTGAATCTAAGAGTGGCCACAGGGTGTGAGGAAGAGCCAGATGAAGCTGAGGAAGACAGTCCTGGAGGAGGAGTAGCCATCAGGTGGGTGAACTACAAAGAAAACCAGGAATTGGCCAATAGATTTGGCCATCAGGTGACACTGGTGACACTGTCTTTGGAGATAAGCTTTGAACAAGGGCTGGGAAATAACCTGACTAGAGTGATTTCGAAAGAAAACAGAGGGGGATTGGACATAGGAAATTCAGACTCTTTCCAAAACACAACCCACATTGTTTTGTGTCAACATTCTGTTTCCCCACTGTCTCTACACATCTTTCCTAGGTAGTTTGAATCTGATTAAGATATATCTTCTGCTGTTTGTTTTTCATTCTATCATGAATATTTGAACAATGTCCATGTTTGCTGCTTTTAATACATCAATATGCTTTATGTAGATACAGCAGTACATCTTAAGACATAAAACAAAGGTACAACAAAGCTCTTAAAGCTAACCTTCTGGGATTCCCCCTGCTCATTTGTTATTATACACAAGAGGGAGAATCTTCACATATGTTTTCCTTTGTGATCATTTCCTAAAGAAGCATTTCTAAGGAAAATCAGTCCTTGTGAGAATGACTTTTATATGTCTCTTCATAAAACAAGGGGAACTGTGCTAATGATTTTTACAATATGAACATGCTCTGGACAGTTGACTTTTGTTTAACCTTGCAACCAAAAAGTTAATCCTACCTGAGTTTGTTTATAATGTAGACAAGCTCATTGTTCCTTGTGTTCCTCTTGTGACCTGGATATATATATATGTATGACCCTTCTTTATACTTAACCCCAGAAAATGTATAAATGTGTCTGAATGCTTCAAGAAAGCAGTGAAACATCTTGGATATTCATTGGAAAGTGCAACAAAGATTATCCCATTTGTGCTGCAAACAATAGATGGAATTAAATTGATAATGCCTGTTTGTGGTTGTGTGCATGCTGGTCTGACTTAGTAGGGATCAGACAGGGCAGAATTCTTCTCTAACAAGATAAGGGTCTGACTTTTACTTCCTCATTTCATTCTGGATATACTGTTTCAATAAAAGAAAGAGTGAGCCCTTGTCTGAGAGCATAGTTCTGAGAGAATTCTGAAGGAACAGGTTCTTATCTGTAATGAATATGTGAATGGCTTTCCCCCATGTCATTCTCTAAATAATGCAGGATAACAACTATTTGTAGGGCATTGGCATTCATTAGCTATTGTAGAGATGACTTGAGGTACATGGGAAGATGTGCATAGGTGATTTACAAATGTTAAGTCATTTTATATAAGGGACTTGAGCATCAATGTATTTCACACCCATGAGTCACCTAGAACCAGTCCCCTTGGATTCTGAGGGACAAACTGTAATGGACTTATGAAATCAAAAGATGGAAACATCTTGGGGACTTTGGATAATATTGTAAGATAAATGAGTATTTTCTTTCTTTTTCTTTTTTGAAACAGTGTCTCCCTGTAGCCCCAGCTGGTCTGGAACTCACTATATAGACCAAGCTGGCCTTGAACTCACAGAGATCCACCTGCCTCTGCCTTGGGAGTGGTAGGATTA